AGCAGGGAGCCCGATGCGGGACTCGATCCTGGGACTCCAGGATCATGACCTGAGCTGAAGGCAGTTGCCTAACCAACTGAGCCACCCAGGCGCCCCAAAATGAAGGATTCTTTTGGTAGTGGCTCCTTGACTGCTTTACCACTCATAGAAACACAGCAGGTGATGTGTCCGCTTATGATCCAATGAATATCATTTCCATCCCTGACCGACAGATCTTCTTGGAAACAGAAATGTTCTACAAAATTATCTGCCTTACCATTAGTGTTGGTTCATCTGTGTCCCTTGTCAGATCTGCTGCCCAAACCAGGGCCATGAAGCAGGTGGCAGGTGCCACGAAGCTGGAATTGGCTCTTAATCATGAAGTTGCTGCTTTTGCCCGATTCACTTCTGACCTCCGTGCCGCCACTCAACCAACTCTTGAGTCGTGATGTGCATCTGAGTGTCTGAAGCAAGGACAATATGCTCCTGTGGCTACTGAGGAACAAGTAGCTCTTATCTATGCTGGTGTAAGGGGGTAGCTTGATAAGCTGGAGCTGTTTCTATTGTAAATTTATTTAATTAATTTATTTATATTTCTTGGCTGGAGTATTTATTTATTCTTAAAGATTTTATTTATTTATTTGACAGAGAGACACAGCGAGAGAGGGAATACAAGCAGGGGGAGTGGGAGAGGGAGAAGCAGGCTTCCCGCGGAGCAGGCAACCCCAGGACCCCGGGATCATGACCTGAGCCGAAGGCAGACGCTTAACCAACTGAGCCACCCAGGCGCCCCTTGGCTGGAGTATTTAAAACCAAATTTTAAAAGGCATGATACTTTATCCTGACCACTTCATGAGGCTTTAAAAGACAAAAAAAAAAATTTTCTTATAGAACCACAAGGCCATTTTTACATCGATCGAAATACGCATTTCTTAAGTTATAGTACAAACTATTCAGATTTGCCTATCATCTCAAAAAATGTCTTATTACAATTATTATTTTTTCAAGCCAGAATCCAAACAAGGTCCACATATGGTTCTTACACTTTCATTTGCAGAAGTGCTCCATTCCCCCCTCCCTTATTTGATATGCTTCTTGAAGAAACTGCGTCAGTAGTCCTGTAGAATGTTTCAGTTAAACACCACTTTGTGGTATTTAATTTGCTTTTTCATCATCTGTATTTCCTGCAGACTAGAAGTTAGATCTAAAGACTTGCTTAAATTGTATTTTAGATTCTTGACAAGAACATGCTATAGGTGGTGTTACAGACTCCGTATTATTTCATCACCTCAAGAGCCACATAGGGTCAGATGGCTTCACTTTTAGTAATGCTCAAGTTGTTTATGTGGGGACAGCCTGATTCCTTCACTGTAAAGTTTTCTAACAATCTTTCACTTAATGATTTCGGTACCTATTGCTTAGCTCTGTCTGATTCATTTAAAAATAAACAGGGGTCGATCTAGAGGGGAGGGGGGCGGGTGGATGGAGTAGTCCGGTGATGGGTATTAAAGAGGGCACGTATTGAATGGAGCACTGGGTGTTTTACGCAAACAATGAATCGTGGAACACTACATCAAAAACTAATGATGTAATATATGGTGATTAACATAACATAATAAAATAAAAAAAATAGTCTAAGACAAAAAAATAAAAATAAACAGGGGTCGAAAGATGGTGATTTTCTAGTTCAATTATTCCTTCTTCATTTATTAGCTAGAATTCTTCTGTATAGAAGAGCTTTCTTGGGGTGCCTGGGTGGCTCAGTCGTTAAGCGTCTGCCTTCGGCTCGGGTCATGATCCCAGGGTCCTGGGATCGAGCCCCGCATCGGGCTCCCTG